ATTTAACAATTAGAACATTTTTTTGATAACCTTATAATAAGTTAATAAAATTTTTTTTTTTTGACATGGAATTATGCTTGAGTATATAAGTTATATGAAAAAGATGAAAATGTTGTTTTATTTACACAATGTAGTCTTAAGACAGAAAACAAAAAAAAAGTAAAAATGACAATAGGTTTTGAAAGCTTTTTTAAAATAACTGCTGAGGTAATGTTTTTTAAATCACTGCTATTTTTGCTCAGATTTTGTACCTTGCTTATAAAAAAAAGTATTCATTGTGCATGGATGACAACTTGTGCAGACGTTGAAGAAAATGTTTCTTAGTGGTAGCAACAATTATGTTCTAACGTGTAAAATTTATTTTTTGAATAATTAAAAAAAAATGTTTTACCAACAAAGTAATAGTAATATTAATGCAAGCATTTGCAAGTCCTTTTTTCTGAATGGGTGACTTTTTTATTATATGCTTTAAATGGTAATAAATTTAAAATTTACCTTTACAAATGATCTTTCTTTTTTTTAAAAGTGTTACATATAAAAATTCTCTGGAAAGAGTTAGTTTTTAGAATTTTAAATAAGGAAGGAGTTGAATATTTCGATTTAACCCCTTGGGGACGGGTGATTCAGAAAAGCATTCGTACAAAATCAGAATCAAGTTGCAATTAAATATAAAACGGTAACTTAAATGTAGTCGTTGCTAATTTGAAAGACTGACTTTCTTTTTACTTTAATTATTGTTAGTTTCATCATATATATAATCAATGTTAATTCAAAGTATAACTAAATAGTTTTATTTTGAACAAAGCAATGGTGAATTAAATAAATCAAACAATTATAACTCTGCCCACAAATAAACTGCTAAAGAATTATTTTGACCACCATTTTTATCTTTTTACCCAGATTGATACGGTTTTATGCTGGCACGTATTTGCGACATTCGGCGCGAAAGGGTTAAAAAACTTGACTAAATTTTTTTTCCAAAGTTTCCCAGTAACGCCGATTAGTTTAGTTATGAAATATCTTCAAAATCATTAAGATTGAATTTTAGTGAGTTAAAATTTATTTAAAACAACAAGATGTTTAAATTTATACTTTATTAATGGGGATTTATAAACAATCAGGGGATTGTAAATGATATTAATTTATAAACAGCAAATATTGTTGATAAATAGGGATTTCTAAACAATAATGGGTATAATTCATAAATATAAAATATATATAAATTATTTTATATTTTATAAATTTACTTTATAAATTTTATTACACTAGGGAGCAAATATTTTATATTTTATAAATTATTTTATATTTTGTAAATGCACTTTATAAATTTTATTACACTAGGGAACAAATTTAATTTTGTTTTCTGTTAATTTGGATTTTTGAACGAATTTTAGATATTTTCACATCGGTTATTTCAAATGTGCAATCGGTTCCTCTGTACAAGCTTCAGTTTTTATGCAATTGGGTAATATATTCCTAACCAGGAGGTTTTAAAATTCATTCAAGTAAATACTCAGTGTCCCTACTTCGGTGCTACGTAGGGAGTAGTAAGTAGAGGGTGATTGTATATTTCTGTTTATGATGCGATACGTTAAGATTGTATGTTTTTTTATTGTCTGAAGTGTTATTTTCAAAGGAGCAGACAAGTGTATATGCAAATCTATGCACTCTTTATAAACTTGTACATTCAAACAAAAAATATAATAAAAATATCAATTTGAAAAAAAAAAAAAATCTGTAACTTTCCGAACAAAACTAATTTCAGATTTAAATCCCCCATCNAAACCCCCCCCCCCCCGAATTAGTTGAGATCAAATACTTGTATAGATGAAACGAAGATTTGTTCCCGTGTGTATTAAAAACGTTCACGAAATATTTAAAAAATATTGTAACAAGCTTTTATTTTTCCCCCCCTGTTTTGTCACATCAAATACGTTTCCACAAAACCATATTTGGTACCTCAATGTTATCTGTTATTAAATATATTTATCGTATTTAAATCCTATTTTATAATCTAAAAGTATATGATCTCGTTTTCTATATTTAACAAATTCGTTAAACAAATGAGATATCGTTCTCATTTGTTTAACGAAAATACATCGAAGTAAAAACTTTGGTTTTCGAAATAATATATATATTTTTAAATAAAGTGAAATAGTTATTTTATAGCAATATATAAAAAATTTAATCACGCAAAAGTAATGTATCAAAAATATTTCAACTGCCATAAATCGAAAATAAGTAGTACTTAAATTTTATAATTAAAAACTTATAAAATTTTAAAGGTGGAAAAACATTTTGCAAGGAAACATCACATAAAATACGCCAACGGAAAATCTAATGCAGACTTTAACACACAGATATAACCTCAGATCAATACAGATGTACTGATAGATCTAACCTCAACCTCAGATTTAAAAGACTTATTTATGTTCATGGTTAAACCTAACTTCTCTTGTATGAGAAAATACTGAGGTATGAGATATCGTACTTTACTACTAACTTTCAGTAAACAATATTCTTTTAACAGTAAAACTGTTAGCACAATTTGAAAAATCATGCTTAAAGCTTTTACAAATGGTGCAGCTTTTAACCATACAAAATTTGCATGTATGAAGATGAAGAACTTTTTTTAAGTTTTAATATTAGCGGATCTTAAGCCTTGTTAAAGGATTAGAATATTTATATAAGAATGCTTTTAAAATTATTGTAGTATTAAAAGTTGGAAAAAGGCGTCTAGTTTACTGCGCATTATTTTGTTTGACTAAAATTTTGCATGGGATTTTTTCAATTCTAAAAGCAAAATTTCTAATAACTTCAATCATGATCTTTCAAGATATTCCATTAGTTTTGTCGTGTAGTACCTTGCAAACCATTTGCTTCTAACTAGAAAATTGTTCAGTAGAGATAGTATCTTATGAGCTTCGCTGAACAGCCAACTCAAATTTTGAGTTTCTTACTAATTTTCTACTCCGTAGCCTTGTAATTGTGAACCCAATCAAGAAGACAAGGGAACTTCTAGAACAATGTTGGATATGTGTTTTTGGAAAAATATATCTGTTTTTAAAAAGTTAAGCAAAAAGCTAGGGGTGGAATACTTAGAAAATATTCCGTCCGAGAGGACATTTAAAGAATAGTGTTTTTTAAACATTTAAAAGCAATTAGTTTTACATTCACAGTGGTTTGTAACATCTGTTGAATGAGTGCAGCGATGCCAACTTGACAGGCTTTGAATAAATATTTTCGAGTGTAGTGTTTTAACCCTTTAACGGGCCCTTTATTTCTAGTAAAGGTAAATTAAAGTAATTTTGGAATTGAAATTGTTTTAAGAACAGTAATTCATATATAAAAAAAAAACTCATTTAGTTTATAAAAATGCCATTTTTTTTGGTGGTAAATATATTTAACATGACCTATTAGGAACTTACTGACTTTTATTTTTCTTTATTTATTAAATAAATTCATTTGCTACAAACTTCAAAAGGAATTATGTATTTTATAACTTTTATACGTTTTTTAAAAGTGACAAACGGTTACCAATTTTATTCAAACTCACTTCAAGAAAGCTGAAGTTATTGAAACATGGAAACCTAAATTAAAAGTGATAAAACATGGTGGTAAGTATGCTTACCACGGCCTTCAAAAGGGTTAATATATGGTGCAGAGATGCCAACAGCTCCGGACAAGCCAAAATAATTTAAAAAAACGGTAAATAACTACGAAGTAAATTTTGCAAATATTCGACAATATTTGCTTGTTTTGTAAAAGGTATAGCATGATATAAGTGCTTATACTTATATCAATTTTGAATCTGAGTACCAGCCGTAAAGTACTGAATTATATAAGCCTACGAATTGTTTAGAAATAGTGGTGGATAAAAATCTACTAAATTGAATTTATTAAACCAAGAATCACAATTGATAAACTATCACTTTCAAATATATATTTGCTGTCCGGAGCAAGTTGGCATCTCTGTATGGTGTAGTAAAAAAAACTTCGGTGGTCAATCTTGGTGTAATCAATTTGATTTATAGGATTTTTACTCAACGCTACTTCTAAATAATTCAATGGCTTATGTGATACTCAATTTTGTTACTATATATTAAAACATCGGGAGGCAGTCTCAGGGGTGAAAGCCTATATATATCAAGACGGAAAAGAGCAAAAACTGGTAACAAATAAATTTCATTTTTTAGCTTTTTTTCGGGAATAATAAAAATCTATAACAACCAATTGTTATAAACGGAAACAATTTTTATATTGAATTGCTTCTTCGCAGAGAAAAAATTAATTACAGTGAATTGTTAATTGTTGAGAATAGATTAACTCCTCCCAAATGTTATCTAATATTAAAATAGTTCTTCTACCAGTATTTTCTCTTTTCCGTCTCACTTTGCAAACTGTCGTAAAAATCTCTTCTCTCTCTTAAATTTGTTTGTTTTATCTCGCTACTTTATTTTAATTTTCACTCAGTAAATGTTACTGATCCCCAACTTTCACCATTTAACTGCGCTTCGGCGATTTATTATACATTCCCACTCAGATGAATTAGTTGGGGTACCTTGCTGGGCTGATGCTGAGACAACTACCACATATGAGTATGAGTACTATGTATTAAACGTTAGCAACCAAAAAGTCAGCTGACCAAAATGAGTGACCTCAATTTCTGAAAAATGCATGATGGATAAAGGAGCCCAAATCGCAACCACTACTAGGACTAATCTTCTAAAAAGTTGGAGAATTGAACCGAAATTCAGCAAATTTTAGCTTGAAGTTCTTTATCGCGTTTTAAAATATTTTATCGAATTCTGAGCAGTTGGTATCTCTGTTTTAGTGTTGCACCGGAAAAGAGTTAAAGCAGTGGTCAGTGTAATATTTTTGACTTCCGGGAGCGACTTGTACTTGGATTAAGTGCGAGAGAGGGGAGATATTGGAGCAGAATTTACTGACCACTGGATTGAAACATAGAGTCACATATTATGATTTAAAATTTATGATATAAATTAATTTCAGGTCAAGGAGGTGTGAATCAATTAGGGGGAGCTTTTGCTAATGGAAAACCCCTGCCTTTCCATGTCCGTTTAAGAATTCTCGAACTTGCACTGTACGGATACAGACCGTGCGATATTTCCAGGCATCTGTTAGTATCTCATGGATGTGTATCTAAGATACTCACCCGTTTCGCAGAAACTGGATCCATCCTTCCTGGAGCTATTGGTAAGAAAGCTTTAATAATTCATGAAGTCTCTTTAATGAAGAAATTTTGATCTTGAAATTATGATGGATATTTATCATTAATAACTCACGAATGCTTTTTTACAAAAGAGCATATTTCTTTTGTTTTGATTTGATACTCATCATTAATTACTCATGAATGCTCTTTAACCCCTTGGGGTGATTCATAAAAGCATTCGTACAAAATCAGAATTAGGATGTAAATAAATAAAAATCGGTAGCTTAAATGTAGGTGTTGCTAATTTGACCGACTTACTTTGCTTTTACTTTAATTATTGTTAGTTTAATCATATATATAATCAATGTTAGTTCAAAGTATAACTAAATAATTTTATTTTGAACTATGGTAATGGTGAATTAAATAAAACAAACAATTATAATCCCCACAAATAAATTGCTAGAGAACTACTTTGACTACCAGTTTTATTTTTTTACCCTGATTGACACGGTTTTATGCTGACACGTATTTGTGACAGTCGGCGCGAAAGGGTTAATGGAAGAATATTGCTTTTGTTGATCTGATACTCATTATTAATAATTCACAAATGCTTTCTTACAAAAGAACATATTGCTTTTGATTTGATTTGATACTGATCATTCATTACTCATGAATGCTCTTTAGCGGAAGAAGATTGCTTTTGTTGATCTGATACTTATCATTAAAAACTCACAAATGCTTTCTTACGAAAGAACATGCTTTTGTTTTGACTTGATACTCATCAGTAATTAATCATGAATGCATTTTAAGGGAAAAATATAGCTTTTGTTGATCTGATACTCATCATTAATAACTCACAAATGCTTTCCTACGAAAGAACATATTGCTTTTGTTTTGATTTGATACTCATCATTCATTACTCATGAATGCACTTTAACGGAAGAATATTGCTTTTGTTGATCTGATACTTATCTATATTATAATATTATATCTATATTATAATATTATATCTATATTATATCTATATTATCTATATTATAACTCACAAATGCTTTCTTACGAAAGAACATGCTTTTGTTTTGACTTGATACTCATCAGAAATTAATCATGAATGCATTTTAGGGGGAAAATATTGCTTTTGTTGATCTGATACTCATCATTGACACTCACAAATGCTTTCTTACGAAAGAACATATTGCTTTTGTTTTGATTTGATACTCATCATTCATTACTCATGAATGCTCCTTAACGGAAGAATATTGCTTTTGTTGATCTGAAACGTATCATTAATAAATCACAAATGCTTTCTTACGAAGGAACATGCTTTTGTTTTGACTTGATACTCATCAGAAATTAATCATGAATGCATTTTAAGGGAAGAATATTGATTTTGTTGATCTGATACTCATCATTAATAACTCATAAATGCTCTTTTATGGAGGAACATCGCTTTGATTGAACTGATACTCATAATTAATTACTCATTCCTTTTTATGGAAGAATATTATTTCGTTTGATATGACACTCATGAATGCTATTTTAATAAAGAATATTGCCTTTATTGATATGATTCCTTTAAGTTGTTGAATGAATCTTTGTCAAAATCCCTCCCTTCCCTCCAAAAATAGAAAAAGATTTCGAACGAAAATTAGCATTTTATTTTTAACCTGAACTTAATGAAAGATTTTGTTTTAGAATGGCAATGATCTGTTAAAATTGTCGGTCAAATAAAAATGGAGTAAAGAAATTACAATGCACAATATAAAATTTATTGCATGGATATTAACACATTGAATTCGGGCAACTTTTACAGAAAATGTGTTACAGTTGTTAGAGATTAAAATTTTTAAAAAGTGGTGGACAAGATTGCATAAAAGCTGTTGAAATCCTGTCACTGTAGCTACAACTTCAGGAAAAAAAATTACGACGAGCGATTGTAGCACAGAATACTGAATCATTTCAGCTTGTAGTAATCACAAAAAAATAATTGTTTTGAAAAAAAAAAAAAAACGGAAACAAAGTAATTTTGCTACCACTTTTTAAGCTTTTGTCTGGATCGCAGAAATTTCAAAAACATATTTTTACGCGACACGCTTGCAATGCGTCAAATAAAACTTGCCATGACTAAATCGATAAAATAACTTTTCGTTGAAACATAGCCTGCAAACAACAACGGATTGTCCGTAGTACTTCATTTTAATATTTAAAGTAATAATGATTCTAATAAATTTCTACTAAATTCTTGGATTTCTAAATTTAAATCAATGATTTTGAATAAAATTAGATGGAAATCAATCTTATTTATAAGAGCAAGTTATAGAAACGAAAAGGATTTAACTGACAGCAATATTTAACTCCAACGCTTTATCAATAAGTCTTTCACGAAGGTAAATTTCTTCCTATACTTGATCTAGGAGTTCCCTTGTCTTCTGGATTATGTTAATTATAAGGCTACGGAGTTGAAGATTATTAGCCGTAAATTCCAATTCGGCTGTTCAACGAAAGTTAAAAAAATAAAAATACCATTAATTAATTATAATGTAAATTTTTATACCTAACTCTAAATTCGGAAATTGTTCATTATTTCTCCTTCAAAGTAGATATTTCGATCAGTCTTATGGAGAGACGGAGTGTCCGCCTCTGGTGCTTCTTCGCTCGATTATGTGACCAATATTTGATTGTAAAGCTGCGTTGGTTCATCCTTTTCACGAAAAAAAAAAAGTCATTCCAAAAATTTAATCAAAAAAGAATTGTGGTCATCATTTGCTCGACCAGAAAGGAGAGATTAGCTTTTCAACATTTAAAGTGGTCAATTGAAATCGTGTAGTTGAATACGTCTGGTCAAACGGTTAATAACTTCTAACTCTCTCTCTATATATTTAAATAAACTGGGAACCTGGACCGTGAAGCAGCCCCTATCCCATTCATCATTAAATTACATACAGTAAGGTAAAATACTTTGATTTGGCAAACATTGTGGTAGCCATAAAAATCAAGCAGTTTGCTTGTGAAATAATAAAACAATGAAAAAATTCAATATGACAAATTGACGTTTTTACATAACACTAGAAATATTGATTGTAGACTTAAATTAAAAATAAAGATAAAACATGATTTGATATGTACAATAATTGATTTTTGAAGAATGAAAGACATAATTGATAAGATATTGCTATCTTAAAAAAGTAATGAATTGTATAAGCCTGCGAATTGTTTAGAAATAGTGGTAGTTAAAATCTACTAAATTTAATTTATTAAACGAAGAATCACAATTAAAAAGTTACCATTTGAAAATAGTTATTTGATGTCAGGAACAAGTTGGCATCGCTGTGTATATAAATAAAACTATTTTTGTGTGTTCTTTATTGCATCAATTTCTTCAAACCATTTTAGTAACGATAATAATATTAAAAATTTACTCGAATTATGTGTTTCTAATAATCTTGGCTTCGCCAGTCATCGGTGAGCCCGTGGCGCTACGAACAAACTCAGCGCCAATCACCGGTGACCCCCATGGCATTCAACGTGTTAAAAAGAAAGTTATAAAAGTTTTTAACAAATTCATANATAAAACAATGAAAAAAAATTCAATATGACAAATTGACGCTTTTACATAACACTAGAAATATTGATTGTAGACTTAAATTAAAAAAAAAGATAAAGCATGATTTGATATGTACAATAATTGATTTTTGAGAAATGAAAGACATAATTGATAAGATATTGCTATCTTTAAACAGTAATGAATTGTATAAGCCTGCGAATTGTTTAGAAATAGTGGTAGTTAAAATCTACTAAATTTAATTTATTAAACGAAGAATCACAATTAAAAAGCTACCTCTTGAAAATAGTTATTCGATGTCAGGAACAAGTTGGCATGGCTGTGTATATAAATAAAACTATTTTTGTGTGTTCTATATTGCATCAATTTCTTCAAACCATTTTAGTAACGATAACAATATTAAAAATTTACTCGAATTATGTGTTTCTAATAATCTTGGCTTCAACGTGTGGTCATGTTGCTTCAACCCATGGCATTCAACGTGTTAAAAAGAAAGTTATAAAAGTTGTACACAAATTCATAGCTGCAAACTTGTACGGCAATTGAGAAGTGATTTTCTTAGCTGTAGCAACATGTAAGTTCAGAGTCACTTCGATAAACATTAAAAAACTTTTGGCTTTTCGAACGCGTCCAGGATTCCTTTTTACGTTGTTGTAGACTGTACAATGACGTCAACAAGTGCTACTTCGAACAACTCTTGTACTATTTAATCAAATAATTTATTGTAGTTAACAAGTTTGTAGTAACTTTTTTAGTTGTTTCTAAGCGTGATGTCGAAACTTGCTTGCATTTTTCAGGATTTTCACTTTCTCAAAATGGGTGGCAAGTTTAGTTTTACTCATATTCTCATCTCTTTCATTCTGTCGATCGAATTTTAAAAACATTCTGCATTACACTCTTTTATTTTCTCAATATCCCATCGACAATAGTTATTACGCTTGCTCAATGTTGTGTGTTAGTCGACTTACAGAATAATTTGGCATCTCTGTAGATATAAATAAAGCTATTTTTGTGTGTTCTATATTGCATTAATTTCTTCAAACCATTTTAGTAACGATAATAACATAAAAAAATTTAAAACTTACTCGAATTATGTGTTTTTAATAATCTTGGCTTCGCCGGGCACCGGTTACCCCCGTGACAATCAACGTGTTAAATTGAAACCATTGAGCAAAATTCTGCTCGCTTTCATCTGTGTTAGGTTTCCTTATTTGCGAGTTTTATCAAGAATGTGAAAACTTCATTTGGAGTATTTTGATAAATTTAATCTACCACTCTTTGCAAAAAATAATTTATTATAGATAATATTTAAATCCCATTGCAGTCTACAGGTGGGAGCAGGTCACTGTGGTTTAATTACATGAATTACTAGTTAGAAAATATGCTGGTAATGATATACAATAAGAGGAAATTAATGATTTCTGCTCTTATTAAGGTTAAAGTAAACTGAATATTGCTAATCAAGTTGCAGTCTTTTGTAAA